GTCAGTCAATGATACAGGTACACTATACACCTGTGTATGTAAGTCAATGATACAGGTACACTATACACCTGTGTACGTCGGTCAATGATACAGGTACACTATACACCTGTGTACGTCGGTCAATGATACAGGTACACTATACAGGTACACTATACACCTGTGTACGTCAGTCAATGATATAGGTACACTATACACCTGTGTACGTCGGTCAAAGATACAGGTACACTATACACCTGTGTACGTCAGTCAATGATACAGGTACGCTATACACCTGTGTACATCAGTCAATGATACAGGTACACTATACACCTGTGTGCATCAGTCAATGATACAGGTACACTATATACCTGTGTACATCAGTCAATGATACAGGTACACTATACACCTGTGTACATCAGTCAATGATACAGGAACACTATACACCTGTGTATGACAGTCAATGATACAGGTACACTATACACCTGTGTACGTCGGTCAATGATACAGGTACACTATACACCTCTGTGATACAGGTACACTATACACCTGTGTACGTCAGTCAATGATACAGGTACACTATACAGGTACAATATACACCTGTGTACGTCAGTCAATGATACAGGTACGCTATACACCTGTGTACATCAGTCAATGACACAGGTACACTATACACCTGTGTATGTCAGTCAGTGATACAGGTACACTATACACCTGTGTAAGTCAGTCAATGATACAGGTACACTATACACCTGTGTATGTAAGTCAATGATACAGGTACACTATACACCTGTGTACGTCGGTCAATGATACAGGTACACTATACACCTGTGTACGTCGGTCAATGATACAGGTACACTATACAGGTACACTATACACCTGTGTACGTCAGTCAATGATATAGGTACACTATACACCTGTGTACGTCGGTCAAAGATACAGGTACACTATACACCTGTGTACGTCAGTCAATGATACAGGTACGCTATACACCTGTGTACATCAGTCAATGATACAGGTACACTATACACCTGTGTGCATCAGTCAATGATACAGGTACACTATATACCTGTGTACATCAGTCAATGATACAGGTACACTATACACCTGTGTAAGTCAGTCAATGATACAGGTACACTATACACCTGTGTATGTAAGTCAATGATACAGGTACACTATACACCTGTGTATGTCAGTCAATGATACAGCTACACTATACACCTGTGTACGTCGGTCAATGATACAGGTACGCTATACACCTGTGTACATCAGTCAATGATACAGGTACACTATACACCTGTGTATGTCAGTCAGTGATACAGGTACACTATACACCTGTGTATGTCAGTCAATGATACAGGTACACTATACACCTGTGTACATCAGTCAATGATACAGGTACACTATACACCTGTGTATGTTGGTCAATGATACAGGAACACTATACACCTGTGTGTTGGTCAATGATACAGGAACACTATACAGGTACACTATACACCTGTGTACAGTCAATCATTAAACTGATCAGGTCAATCCACATTACAAATACAGGTCTTACACCAGTGTATGTTCAGTCAATCATTACACTGATCAGGTCTTCACAGTACACAGTTCCAGTCAATCATTAAACTGATCAGGTCTATACACCAGTGTACGTCAGTCAATGTGTACATTAAATGATCAGGTCTTCACAGTGTATGTCAATCATTACAGTGATCCAGGTACAATCATTAAACTGATCAGGTCTTCACAGTGCACAGTTCCAGTCAATCATTAAACTGATCAGGTCTTCACAGTCTACAGTTCCAGTCAATCATTAAACTGATCAGGTCTTCACAGTCCACAGTTCCAGTCAATCATTAAACTGATCAGGTCTTCACAGTGCACAGTTCCAGTCAATCATTAAACTGATCAGGTCTTCACAGTGCACAGTTCCAGTCAATCATTAAACTGATCAGGTCTTCACAGTGCACAGTTCCAGTCAATCATTAAACTGATCAGGTCTTCACAGTGCACAGTTCCAGTCAATCATTAAACTGATCAGGTCTTCACAGTCTACAGTTCCAGTCAATCATTAAACTGATCAGGTCTTCACAGTCGACAGTTCCAGTCAATCATTAAACTGATCAGGTCTTCACAGTGCACAGTTCCAGTCAATCATTAAACTGATCAGGTCTTCACAGTGCACAGTTCCAGTCAATCATTAAACTGATCAGGTCTTCACAGTGCACAGTTCCAGTCAATCATTAAACTGATCAGGTCTTCACAGTGCACAGTTCCAGTCAATCATTAAACTGATCAGGTCTTCACAGTGCACAGTTCCAGTCAATCATTAAACTGATCAGGTCTTCACAGTCCACAGTTCCAGTCAATCATTAAACTGATCAGGTCTTCACAGTGCACAGTTCCAGTCAATCATTAAACTGATCAGGTCTTCACAGTCCACAGTTCCAGTCAATCATTAAACTGATCAGGTCTTCACAGTGCACAGTTCCAGTCAATCATTAAACTGATCAGGTCTTCACAGTCCACAGTTCCAGTCAATCATTAAACTGATCAGGTCTTCACAGTCCACAGTTCCAGTCAATCATTAAACTGATCAGGTCTTCACAGTGCACAGTTCCAGTCAATCATTAAACTGATCAGGTCTTCACAGTGCACAGTTCCAGTCAATCATTAAACTGATCAGGTCTTCACAGTCCACAGTTCCAGTCAATCATTAAACTGATCAGGTCTTCACAGTCTACAGTTCCAGTCAATCATTAAACTGATCAGGTCTTCACAGTGCACAGTTCCAGTCAATCATTAAACTGATCAGGTCTTCACAGTGCACAGTTCCAGTCAATCATTAAACTGATCAGGTCTTCACAGTGCACAGTTCCAGTCAATCATTAAACTGATCAGGTCTTCACAGTGCACAGTTCCAGTCAATCATTAAACTGATCAGGTCTTCACAGTCACAGTTCCAGTCAATCATTCAGTGCACAGTTCCAGTCAATCATTAAACTGATCAGGTCACAGCACAGTTCCAGTCAATCATTAAACTGATCAGGTCTTCACAGTGCACAGTTCCAGTCAATCATTAAACTGATCAGGTCTTCACAGTGCACAGTTCCAGTCAATCATTAAACTGATCAGGTCAATCATTAAACTGACAGTCTTCACAGTGCACAGTTCCAGTCAATCATTAAACTGATCAGGTCTTCACAGTGCACAGTTCCAGTCAATCATTAAACTGATCAGGTCTTCACAGTCGACAGTTCCAGTCAATCATTAAACTGATCAGGTCTTCACAGTCTACAGTTCCAGTCAATCATTAAACTGATCAGGTCTTCACAGTCCACAGTTCCAGTCAATCATTAAACTGATCAGGTCTTCACAGTGCACAGTTCCAGTCAATCATTGAACTGATCAGGTCTTCACAGTGCACAGTTCCAGTCAATCATTAAACTGATCAGGTCTTCACAGTGCACAGTTCCAGTCAATCATTAAACTGATCAGGTCTTCACAGTGCACAGTTCCAGTCAATCATTAAACTGATCAGGTCTTCACAGTGCACAGTTCCAGTCAGTCATTAAACTGATCAGGTCTTCACAGTCACAGTTCCAGTCAATCATTAAACTGATCAGGTCTTCACAGTGCACAGTTCCAGTCAATCATTAAACTGATCAGGTCTTCACAGTGCACAGTTCCAGTCAATCATTAAACTGATCAGGTCGTCAGTGCACAGTTCCAGTCAATCATTAAACTGATCAGGTCTTCACAGTGCACAGTTCCAGTCAATCATTAAACTGATCAGGTCTTCACAGTGCACAGTTCCAGTCAATCATTAAACTGATCAGGTCTTCACAGTGCACAGTTCCAGTCAATCATTAAACTGATCAGGTCTTCACAGTGCACAGTTCCAGTCAATCATTAAACTGATCAGGTCTTTACAGTGCACAGTTCCAGTCAATCTTTAAACTGATCAGGTCTTCACAGTGCACAGTTCCAGTCAATCATTAAACTGATCAGGTCTTCACAGTGCACAGTTCCAGTCAATCATTAAACTGATCAGGTCTTCACACAGTTCCAGTCAATCATTAAACTGATCAGGTCTTCACAGTGCACAGTTCCAGTCAATCATTAAACTGATCAGGTCTTCACAGTGCACAGTTCCAGTCAATCATTAAACTGATCAGGTCTTCACAGTCAACAGTTCCAGTCAATCATTAAACTGATCAGGTCTTCACAGTCCACAGTTCCAGTCAATCATTAAACTGATCAGGTCTTCACAGTGCACAGTTCCAGTCAATCATTAAACTGATCAGGTCTTCACAGTCCACAGTTCCAGTCAATCATTAAACTGATCAGGTCGTCAGTCCACAGTTCCAGTCAATCATTAAACTGATCAGGTCTTCACAGTCCACAGTTCCAGTCAATCATTAAACTGATCAGGTCTTCACAGTGCACAGTTCCAGTCAATCATTAAACTGATCAGGTCTTCACAGTGCACTCCAGTCAATCATTAAACTGATCAGGTCTTCACAGTGCACAGTTCCAGTCAATCATTAAACTGATCAGGTCTTCACAGTGCACAGTTCCAGTCAATCATTAAACTGATCAGGTCTTCACAGTGCACAGTTCCAGTCAATCATTAAACTGATCAGGTCTTCACAGTCGACAGTTCCAGTCAATCATTAAACTGATCAGGTCTTCACAGTGCACAGTTCCAGTCAATCATTAAACTGATCAGGTCTTCACAGTGCACAGTTCCAGTCAATCATTAAACTGATCAGGTCTTCACAGTCAGGTCTTCACAGTTCCAGTCAATCATTAAACTGATCAGGTCTTCACAGTGTCAAGCACAGTTCCAGTCAATCATTAAACTGATCAGGTCTTCACAGTGCACAGTTCCAGTCAATCATTAAACTGATCAGGTCTTCACAGTCCACAGTTTCAGTCAATCATTAAACTGATCAGGTCTTAAAACAAAATTGATATAAATCTCCCTTCTATATATAGTTAATTTCCTTCCATTACCATTAAGTTATACCAAAACATGTCATTACCTTTCCTCCTTTAGAACCTGATGATAAACTAGGTTTTCTTAATCTGAAAAAGTATACAACAGATATTTACACACAAAAGAAAATCAACAACAAAAGACACACACACTTTCTCTTAGTATCATCCATGTATACATTAAGTTCATCGTACCTTAAATGAAAGCAAAGTTATGCTCTTGACAAAATATTTTTAACAAAGGATATTAAGTCTGTAACTGAAGGTTCACTGGCCCTGAATTTGGTACACTGTACATTGACTTCATATGATCAATGTATACGCTAAGTCTCATGATCCTGAGCCTAACTTTGGGCAAAGTTACACTCAGGACAAGAATTTTTTAACAAATGGCAATAACTCTGTGATTGGGGGATCGTGGGCCCTGAATTTGGTACACTGAACATTGTCTTCCATTGTCAACATTAACAATAAGCAGTATTTCTGTAATAAAGGAGTTTTGAAAGCCCTGAATTCAGATGGAGTTGATGATGAATGAAGACTTACTTAATGAACAAGAATCATCATGGTAAATCAATGGATTTGTAAAAAATGTTCAAATACTTTCAAAGCTCAAATATCACCAGAGATTTTTAACCTTTAAACCATAATTATGTCTGAAAACAAAAGACTGACCTATTTAAGGCTGGTGGTACACTGGTACTACTACTCTCAAATGGATTAAATTTGAGGATGGAGTTGGTCTTCGGAGCTCGAGAGCCTTGTACTTTGAGATCATTGAGGACATCGTAATTAATCTTGGTTGAGATTTTTTTCTCCTGGATGAGTCTAACAATGGCCTCTTCCCCTGATGCAGCTGGTGTTGTGTGCAGTGGCTTCCTCTTCTGATATTTTTTTTTCTGTTACAGGATCCCAATCAAATTTGTCTTTTAGAGTAAGTTTGTATGATCAGAAATATAGATAATATGAAAACTAAAGAAATGTTTACTTATAAAACACAGATGTGATCTTTTAATTTTTAACAATCTACCATATTTAACACTGAAGTGTGGCTGATGGAACTGACATACTAGTGACATATACATTTTCACCACATACCTTTTTCTTTTCTGGATTTTGTTCCTCAAGTTCTTTTTCCCTAGCAATTCTTTCTTGTTTTTCTGTAATGCATTTAAATTAAAATTTACTTGAATTTTTTTTTAAAAATTCTGAATACAGCAGCTTACAGCATCATATGTGTAGCATTCTGTGTATTTACACAATCTAATTGGTATGCTTGTATTTCACAGATCAAGTTATATCAAATCATAACTGATGATAATTACATGTTATACAATGTATTGTCTTCAATAACTTAACTATGTCTAAGTACTGTATTTCAGTGTGATAGTTTCAGTATGCATGGTCAGATTAGTAACGTTTGCTTAAAGCACCTTTTTGAGCTTGAAGGAATTCACCATTTTCTTTCATCCAAATGTCTGTTTTTATCTTGACTTCATCTTCACTCAGCAGCATCTGACAAATGATAGAATGATGATAAAACATATATCAGCTACAGCAGACTGAATTAAGTCTATGAATCATAAATATACAATCATCATCATATACAACAACAAATCACAGCCGATCGTAAAGCTTACAAATAACATGATGTACATGTATTGATAATCATATTTGTTTAAAATGCCATACTCACAGTTGTTTTGAGATTTTTCAATTCATTACTATAAAAGTGGACATTAAATGTTGAAAAGTGCCTGAATTTTAGGATACGAAATATGATGTAAAAAGTAGGTCACAAGATGACCACTTCCTACCATGTCTAACTCATGATCATCAATTCCTGCCAGGTCCAACTCGCCTGTTGTACTGTCAGCTGCTGCAACGATAACCTTAATAGTACTTCTTATGGCAAGTATGAAATAAGAATAAATGACACTAACAAAAAACTAAACATCTGAGATCATTCTAAATACTTTGTTTTCAACAAGTGGTCAACAGACTTTAATAAATAAGAAGTTGTCACCTGCATAAGTCTTCAGAAAAATCAAAAGTAGCAAGTCAAGACTTGAAAAAAGTACACTTCACGATATAACATTTCATACTAATTGCCTCATGTTCCTAGAATTTAAGCATATTCTTTTTTTCAAATATGCAATTTTACAGTTTTAAAAGCCTGATATTGATAACCATGAAGGAGATCAGATCCTCGTGCCCCTTTTTTATCTGATGATCTCTGATTATCCCTGACATGCCTGAAAGCAATCCATTAACTTTTCCTTGCCAACTTACTGGAAACAAAATACATCTGTTAATAATGTGTATGGCCAACAAACAAATCACAAGAGCCCAAAAACTATTGAACTTACCATCAACTGGTGTCTCATCATTGGTTAAGCACTCCTTGACCACTTCACTGATACCCAAATCTTTGCCTGTCGGACCAGTGGGACATGATGATGAACTTGCAATTGCTGCGCTAGATTCAGAACTTGTGTTACTAGATCCACCAACAAAAGATAAAGATTGCTCATCGACACATCCTGCTAATGTTTCTTTCTCCAAGAATTTTTCCACTTTTTCTATCTCATCAGTCCCTGACAATGACAGTGGTGATGGTGTGCTGGGCTCTGAAAAAAAAGTATTCAATATATCAACTAATAGTTTAATATTGAAATGATGATAAAAACTTTTAATTAGTAAAACATGTATTATTAGTACATGTATAGGAATGTTTTAATGAACAATCATATTAAACCTACGATATATTCATAATACTTTTTATATATTTATGTATTTATGCAATGAACTACTGTATACAAACTTGAATAAGCAGCCCAGATTCCTCGTGGTTTAGGAGGCTGCAACGACTTTTCAATCTCTTCCTGAATTTCTGAAACTTCACATGTCAGTTCATTCAACTTGTTCTTTTCTTCAAGCTGGAAAATAAATACATAGTACACAAAAAATCTAATCTATCAACCATTTATGTAATAAACATTTCCTCAAGTGCATTTTTTTTGTCTTTCTGAATTACAGTGGAGAATTTCAAAGGTGAAATACAATTAAATCTAGGCACTTTGTTTTCAATTGACAACACATTATATCACTGGTGATGAGGTTGTACTGATTGTACAAATGTTACTATTATGTTTACAGATTCAGTAGATACTGTGAACTAGATAAGAGTCACACTGTTTGTAATATCTGCTATTGTATGGATTAAAATATGAATGTACCTGTGCATTTAGTTTAGCTTGTAGTGCACGTTTTTTGCCTTCAGTGAAAGATGGGGGATCATGTTCTGCTTCAAGGTCGATATTCTGAAATTCTTCAATAGTTAACTGACTAGAGGGGGTGTCCTGAAATTCAGCAAGTCTGTAATAAACAAAAAAAACAAACAAATAAGTGTTGTAAATGTATGTCATGTGTTATAATCCATTTTTCATCCCATGCAAGTTTTGAAATCACTAAGACATTAAATTGTCCAAAGCTCACCTTTTCCTGATGGTTGTGTCACACACTTTGACTACTTTGATGATATCTTTAACACTTCTGTTGAAGTTGGACATTCTTGCTGCCACTAGTAAGGCTGAACATAAAAATAGAAAATCACCAAATAAGTTTACCTTTGGAGATAAAACAAGAAATATAATCAGCAAAGACTATTAGTACAAGTAAAAGTGGTGGAATTTATCAAAGAGTTCAATAAAATATAAATAAAAGAAAAAGATTTTTGTCCTAGTTGAGCATCTAACACCCTCAAAACTGGACTGTGTAATAATTTCTCTGATTAACTGTTATCAACTATATTCTTTTGCCAATGCTTTTTAAATCTGAAAGCAAAGGGAAAATGTGTAATACTCAAATATGTACATTTTCAATTTGATTTGTGACATTCAATCTATTTATATGAAAACAAATGTAGGAAAATACACTTTTACTCATAGCTCCATGCAAATTATGTAGGATTTGAAAATAAGAAATCTCCATTGTGTGGAGTAAATATACTAAAAAATAACTCAAAAATTACAGCAAAACCATTTCTCAAGTGTTGATTCAAACAGTAAGATCACTTCTTGTTCATTCAATTTGACAACAATGAACTTTATCTTAAGTAACTTTCAGGGTTCAAAACAAGGCAACCAGACCAGAATTAGAGCTGTCACCAAGCGGGTGACAAGTACACAACCTGCTTTTCCAAAATTATAACACTTGTTACTAGTATGTTGTGTACATGAGCTGACAAATTTTGCTTCATTTTTCTAGGTCAGTGTTATGGTAGAAATACAAAAGATAAATTAATTCATGTGTGTGTATTCATCAGCCCCTGAAATCATGAATCAGCATGCATTTCTATGGGGGAAATGGGGACCAATATTTAGGTTTGTACTGTATTTTGTAAGATATGTAAAATTCACTTTTGATGCAATACTTTTCTTTTAAGTAAGAAATTTTTACTTAATAAGAATAAGAAAAAATTAAAGCATGCAAACTTTTCAGGAACTGATGTTTATTTTGTCAGTTGTCATGCACAGAAGAGCTGGCTTGAATTCACATAACTACTGCTTTTTTGAAATTTTTTATGGGAAGTAGAAAAGTGTCTACATCCCATTTTTATCAAGCATCATGAATGGACAAATCAATTTTTTGTGAATGAGAACTAAAAATAAGTGTCTGAGCACTGTTCAGTACCGCAGGTCTATGTGATAGAAAAAAGTTACAGAAGAATGCAGAGGTTGAATAAAAACTTAACGGGTCTCATAAAAGGAAGAATGTTAAGTTTACCACCTACTAATGGAAGCATTCAGCGCTAGCATAAATCAAGAAGCAGATGAACATTGAAATTATTTTGATTTTTGAGTAGCCTCCCCTTGTCCATAATACTAGAGTTTCTTAAACCATGGAAATAGGTTAAGAAGCATAGAAATATGTAAAAAATATTTTCGTTGATTAATTTCATCGTTATGGCTTATTTTAAGCTTTCACTTTTATTCATTTATCTTGTTCAAATGTTACTAACTATATAACTGCATAAAACATATGATATAATGTTAAAACACATTTATTTACAGCAAAAGATGTATGTTGTTGGCTTTAGGAAGAGAGAGGAGGGGTGATTAAAAATGCAAAATAATTCCTGGGAGAGCTCAACTCCATATATACTTGCACTAAAAATTAAATGAAAAGAAATTCCACTAAAACACAAGTGAATACATTAGTGGCCAAAATTGTGTTCATTTTTTTTTTAACAGAATAGGGGCATGAAACTCTGTGATAAGGGGTTGAAATACAAAATAACTCCAGAGGCACAGTTCCATATGATGGTGGTGGTAAGTTTGTGTGTGGGAAGGTAAGGTGAAGAAAATAGTGTGTTTATAATCATGTGACTGTGCTGAAAATACCATTGATGGGAGTAAGCAAGATACCTGCACCACAAAGTCCAGAGGGACGGCGACCTGTATGCATCCAGTCTCTTTTCATTCTCTGAACAAGTCGCAGAGCAATCATAGAAACATCATGGGTCTTATCCTCAAACTCCAATTTGTGTGCAAACCGCTGTATGTAAAGGCAAGGATCTGAAAACAATAATAAAACTTAATCAAACTTGCATATATCAAGGTGTTTATCTGAGTGTAGACTGATTATATCTGGAAACACTATATCATAATGTATCTTCATTGCATCAACATACAAAACATATGTCATTCATGTATAATAAATTGCAGTTTGATGTGTAAATCTCAAATCTTTAAACATTAATTAAGTTCCCCTCATGCTAGGCCTGACAGAATTTAATTTAGATCTACAACAATCCAACTCTCTTAAAAACACCTCAAAAACAAGACACTCAGCTGACTCATATAATATGTATACAATCATCACTAATACCCCTGTGAATATTAAGAATTTTGTTTTCATTCTTATAAGATATAACAAGTACAGGAAAATTAACAATTTTACAATATTCTGTTACAATAGAAAGAAAAAAAGACTTGAGTTGTAATTTTTTTGCACTTTTATAATTAAATATCTGAATATCAAGGAATTGTTTCTGCACCTTTAACTCCCCATACCCTTTGACAAACATCAGATTCTTGCCAACAAGAAAATATGTATTTTGTTTTTACTTAAAAAAATAAGATGGCAGCTTGCAGAAATGAAGAGACACTAGATGAGTTAAAAATATTACATTTAATAATATATTTCAATTTAAACAAAAAAAAAAAACAGAAGGATATTTTGTCCATATCATGCATGAATATTTTCATTGATTAGTCAAACATAATATACTAGATAAACAAATAAACCAATGTACACTTATAACTTTTTAATATCTCCCATACGCTACTCGACTTATATTCACTATTTTATTGTTGTTCAACCTATATATCTTATGACCAGTTATCACCCTTGAACGTAGTGTATGCTGGGATATATGTATTCTAGTACACAATGTAGCTCTCCGTCTAGACACCGAGTTATTCAAAACAAAAAGAAAACCAACGGTAAGATTGATATTATTGCACGAGAAATAGATATTTTTCAAACTTTTCAACTCAGACTGCCTGACAGAATCGACACCTCATATGAACAAACTGCCGAATTGACGTCGCGACGAGACGGCTGCGATTGTTTTTTGGCAATGTTTCAGCTCCATTTTCGGGCACAGCCAGTGTCATGTTTATTAGCATAAATTACAACGTAACGAACGATGCGCGCTGTTGAAAGTTCCGTTAGTGTAACTTACACCCATGTGTACAATAGAATCGTTCTGATTATAATGTTGGTCACATTTAGTGACAGTAGTCTATTCCGATAAAATAAAAACAAATATAATCGATATAACGGTACTCGGCTTTTGACCTGTTAACTATGCTACCAACTGTTGACAAACGTATGGTTTTATAAATACATAGTGCATTAAGAGGTTCTACGTCAAAGACGGGGGAGACAGATAGGATGCAAGGATCGACTAAGCTTGCCACTCTTTGACAGATTAAAATCCTGTTAAAGCCAGCTTTGTTTTAGTTTAGACGTTGAATATTGAGGCAATTGCCAGAATTTTTTTCACATGTACTTTCATTGAACTTATTAGATAAAAGCATTTCAGGGATGTATATTCAGAACAGATCAATTTGATATTGGCCACAAAAAAGACACCAGAAAAAAAAACTCATCTTTTATATTCAGCTTGGTAATTTGATATAAAGTAGGAAGGAGGGTTCTGCCAAAACCCAATTAATAACTGATCATGCCAACGAGGCTAACAGATAATTTGTATCCATTTACACCAAACTCCTCGGATGTATTGCTATACTATTGTACATGCATGATTCCTGATAAAGATAGTGCGCTGAATGGTTATATGAGTGTATGATAGGTTAAATGCTATACAATCATCATGACAATCTTAACAGCGATGATAAAAGCAAAGTTTAACAATCTTTGGATTAAAATGTTTCTAACTTTCCTGATTTTTAGATGGATAAGCCATTGAAAACTGAGCCGAAGAGCTGCTTGTTTGCTAAGCCATCTCGTGAGTACTCTGATGAAGAGGTCAATCAGGAGGTCCCCCAGAACTTTGGGGGCAAGCTGCCAGTTCAGCGGCAGATCAGACAGACAGAACCTCCTTGGCAGCTTCCACGCAGTCCACCCCCATCCCTTCCCAATGCAAAAGCCAGTGAGGAGTTTAATTGGCAGGCTAATATGTCAAATGTCCGAGAAAGAAATGCAGTTATGTTCAATAATCCTCTGATGGCAGATGTATTTTTCAATGTTGGTAGTGCACCACACAACTGCCAGAAGATTCCTGCTCATAAATACATTCTTGGTATTGGAAGTTCTGTGTTCTTTGCAATGTTTTATGGTGGCCTATCCAACCAACAGCTGGAAATAGACATACCAGATGTGGAACCTGCAGCATTTCTTAATCTCCTCAGGTAATGCATTATTGAAAGTGTCAAGTTTATGCTTGCAGTCTTTGTTTAGAAGCAGACTGATTTCATGTTTTCTCAATGTACACAAATCCAATGTAAACTTGATAAATAAGACCAGTCTCAATATGCTTATGATGCCATAATTATTGAAGGACTTGGTTTTATCAAAGTTAATACAGTTAATGTTATCTACTTATATTGTAGGATCTCATTTAATGTAATTTATTTCATCAAATTAGAATGTTTAATCTTGGACTCTGTTGCTCTGTCCTCCATAATATTTCAGGGGATTTAAACAAATTATAATCCCATATATATAGTGTATAAGTATATGCAGAAAAATGTATAACAATGTCATTATTTTTTTTTTCAATTTACAGGTATTTATACTGTGACGAAACTAAAGTTGAACCAGACAATGTGCTCGCTACATTGTATGTAGCCAAGAAATATCTAGTGCCTCATTTGGCCAGGGCATGTGTCCGTTACCTGGAAACTAGCCTCAGTGCACACAATGCCTGTGTTTTGCTAAGCCAAGGACGTTTGTTTGAGGAACAAGAACTAATGCATAGGTGTTGGGAGGTGATTGATGCACAGGCAGAAGAGGCATTAAAGTCTGAGGGATTTTGTGACATAGACATCAACACCCTCAAAACTGTCCTCGGTAGAGAAACGCTCAATGCTAAAGAAATTTCTGTGTTCAATGCAGCCTGTCGCTGGGCAGATTCTGAATGTAGGCGATGTGAAATAGAACCAACATCTGAAAACAAACGTAAAGTATTGGGGGATGCTCTGTTCTTAATTCGAATCCCCACAATGAAGCTAAATGAATATGCAAATGGTCCTGCCCAGTCTGGTGTTTTGACATTACAGGAAAGCAATGATATTTTCATTTATTTTTCAGCAAGAAAGCGTCCTGAACTTAACTTTCCATTGAAGCCTCGTAAAGGTCTGAAACCATACCGATGCCATAGGTTTCAGTCCTCTGCCTATCGAAGCAACCAGTGGCGTTATCGAGGCAGATGTGACAGTATACAATTTGCAGTAGACCAGAGAATTTTTATCGCAGGGTTTGGCCTCTATGGCTCTAGTAGTGGTGCAGCAGAATACACAGTCAGAATGGAACTGAAGAAAAATGGCAACACTCTTGGCCAGTGCTTCACAAAATTCTTCTCAGATGGGTCTAGTAACACATTTTCTGTGATGTTTGATAATCCCATACAGGTAGAGCCAGATCAGTTCTATAATGCTAGTGCTGTGTTGGATGGAGGAGAACTGAGCTACTTCGGCCAAGAGGGCCTTGCTGAGGTCCAGTGTGACAAAGTAACTTTTCAGTTTCAGTGTTCTTCAGATAGTACTAATGGTACAGGAGTGCAGGGTGGACAGATACCAGAGATTATTTTCTACTGCTGATTGTATTAAAATGTGACATCTATGCAGCTGATGTAAAGCCTATATAGTTACATGTAATGATTTCATCACCTCATCACTTGTCTCAGGTCCGCTCTATTAATCCATGCCAGTCTAACAAACGTAGATTTATTGCTTTTGAAATACCATTAAATGTGATGTTAGTTTTGATCTTGTTCTTCACAGATGTTATATTCAGTATTCATGTACAAGTTCATGAGTGATATGGTGTATTCAAATTTATGGAAATTATGTGTAAATTCTATAATTTCACTTGGGAATTGGGCGGGACCCATTATAGGCCAAAGAAAGTTCTCGGAGAAAGCCATGTAGCACAAGACATGTTTTGGAAGAGAATGAATATATATTTCATACTCATGTTTGTGATCAAGGTACACCTTTCAAAAGTTATTTCATCTTTAAATTTTCTTATTTATTTGGTTCGCAGTAGTTTGTTTTGATATATTTTAAACCATTTTGTCAAATAATGAAATAAGTGATTTATATTGCTATTATTTCTATCTGATCAGATATATGTATCAGTCTGAGCCATGATTAAGTATTTGTGTGAATTTAATATGACATACTTGTCCATGAATACTTTTATTTACAGTATTCTGGAATCACATGATCTGTTTCTGATTAAAAGATGTGTTAAAGTGTTTGATGTTATGCTTTCATGATGATATAGAAATTTGTCAATTTATTTAGAGGCTGTGCATTAAAAACATAAATCTGTAGTGTATACAATCAATGATGTTTGTTTATGAAAAATCATTAATGTTTTACAGATTACTGCTGTTCAAAGTATTGTGTCAAAGTCAATGTGTGCAATATAACAGTTCAGGAATTTTAATCAATAATTTGATGTTTCAATTGTTAAACACATTTTTCTGGTCTGATTAGTTAATATTTTGTGTGTCAAAGTTAAGTGTACATAGTATAGAAATTAAAACCTTTAATACCTGGTTGGATGTGAATTATCTCTATATAGCTCTATAATTAGATCACTTACCTAGGTATGAGGTCTGATGGAAACAACCAAACTGATTATCATGATGACATTAGCTGCAGGTACAGCTGAGCTTTGAGCTATGTGTAATTTTCATAGGAAATGTTTAAGTATAAAAACAGCAATGGACAGTTATAAAATGTTATTACTTATAATATGAACTTGTGTGTTGATCATATTTACATTTGTGGGAGTGGGTTGTTGAATACTTTCTAGAAACTTGTTCATTTTATAATAATGTTTTGGTAGTTATTATATTGAAAAATAAGAAACACTATTGCTTACATTCTGTTCAACATACAAAACGGTATACTCTCCATTCAAGTTTCTGTTATCACCATTTTCAGTACATTTTTGTGTGGACTAGTTAACATATCAAAAATCGATAGATGATCAGTATGAGTCTTGGTCCATTTTTCATTACAAAGATAGGATCTCTTATGTGCTATAGGATGTATGTATTTACATAACAGTACAGTTTTACTTACTGTGTAACGTTGTTTGTGTTATACATTGTACATGTATTATGATTCAGCATTTACAAATTTTAACAGGAAAGTACTTGATGTAACTAATAAACCTTATAAAGTATTTAGAAATGTTCTTTTGTTGTATTTCGAAGAGAAAAGTTGAATTTTCAATCCTTGTCAACATTGAACTTCTTATTCACATAAGGACTAGCAAAGTTATACTGTTCTCATACCCAGGACACGTACTGTATATCCATGCTTAGCAGAGACAAGGATTCCCCTGTCAAGGCGATATGACATCACCTCAACAATTACAATGACTTCATGCCAACAATTTCAAGTACTGAGAAAACAACACACTTCACATACATTATAGAAACCCATAATGATAAGAGGAAAAGAATAATTCTCCCCCTTTAGGGTAGGATAAGGCAATCTCAACCCTGGGGGAAAGATTCTTTAAGGCATGTGTTTGTCAACCAAGTATCTTTCTCCTCGGGTTGAGATCACCTTATCTTGCCTCCAAGGGGGAAATATTCTCTTAAAAAAGTGATTTCTGTGTATAAAATGACATCCAATCCCGAGATTTTCCTGGAAACTAGGATGTAATTATATCCAACAGATTGTATGGTAAGCACTTGGTTATATGGTTTTTGTTACATTGTCCTTTGTGTAGTCTCAACTACATTAGACAAGTTAATTTACATGCAAATACAAAATATAAACCATTTTTATCTGGAGTTATTGAGGAGGATATCCTTTCAATTGCTGAATTAAGAGACTGAACAAGATGTATTCAGAAGACATAACTCTTTCTACAACACTGAAGTATCAGTATGTGGTAAACTGAAAATGTCACTTTTACCTTATCATGCATTATGAGGACAGATTTTGAATGATTTTGAATACCACTTGGTATTTGTAATCAGATATCTTGTAAATGTGAACGAGTGTCAAAATAACTGATTGTATGTAAAATATCAATACTCAACAAATATCTGACTAAAAGTTTTCTGACACAATAATATGTATAGGAACAGAAAGTTATCTTAACTGGAACCCCACTCATGATAATTCAACACCTCAAATACTAAATGAAATTACTGGATTTCATGCTGTAATTTGATATGAAAGTGACCAGTGTTTCATACCTATGGCTGGAATGTTGAGGCAAAGTTCTCTTGAAAGTTGTAAGTAGGTTTTACCAAGACTGTAAACATTGATCTGCAAAAGAAACAACAGTAATGATACTATGGTTCATTGGTGACAGTCTTAGTGAAACATTTAGCTGTAAAACTGTAGTTTAACTCTGATCCAGCAATTTGTTAAATATATATCACTATGACGTTCATTTGATAATGCAGCGAAGTTATTTTTCCCCCCAAAATATCCATCTCAGAAAATTTTGATGGAAAACATGTTGAAATTTAAAACTGACAGTACATCTTACATTAAACAAGAGGCTTGTATGGCCTGTATCACTCAAATGTTTTAGTTTGCTGAAATTGATTAGATGGTAAGACCCACCATTTACACAAAATTGACTTCCCTTCATCCAAATACGCTTTGGACCAAATTTGGACAATCTCCTGCCATTCTTGAAGAACAATGTAAGTTTTAAAGAAATTGATAAATTTTCTTTATTTGGTTTCATCCCTCTGGCCCAAGACCCATGGATTATACAAAATAAATTCCCTTCCTCGAAGAATGCTTCAGACGAATTTCAGTTAAAATCCTCTAGTAGTGATTTATAAGAAAAGTTGACAGACAGACATAAATGGACTACAGATGGACTGAGACCAGATGCTGCGTTATCTCTATAGCTCATTGGCCCTTCGAGCCATGTGAACTAGAAATTGAGCATTATATATAGTCACTGTGACAATAGGTAGCTCTAGGCATGTCAAAAGAGTGAAATTTGAAAAAAAACAGACAATTTCATCATTAAAATGTCAGCATATCATCCCATTACTCAATGTAATAATAAGAAGGTATTGATATGACCATATATAAAAAACTTAACAGAAAGCAACAGTAGCTCGAGGTTACTGCTGAGGGTAACACAAACTTATAAAAAAAGTTGTTGTTCTTGTATTATGAAGGTTTTATTTGGATATTTAACTGGATACTAAACCAATAACATTTTGACAATGTCTGAGGTGAGAACTCAGTCACCTCTGTATGATAAATGTGCTAATAGGATGGAAAGTGTAAAAAATGTAATAAGTCATCTATTATGAACATCACCTAGATAGACATATTTTATAATATTGTTGCCTATGCCATTTATTTACATATCAAGCAGATTGTGTACAGTGGTAGACCCTGATGTAGGCCTAATTGCCAAAAGATTAGCACAGTGGTTACCCGTCTTGATCTCTTATTGATTCAGGGCTCTTCCAGTAAAAAATCTACCACAGGACTCCATGGCTTGGGTTCTTGCCTATTACTTCTAAGCAGAATATTAATTCAAATTTATCAGTGATATCCTTTTACAAAATCTGAGTCCTGAGATATTATTGGAAGAGCCCTTTATTACTGTTACATAACACAATAATTACCTGAAGTTGGTCACTAAAATCAAGCAGCATATGTGGGGACGAGTTAAGGAAGTATAATGTTCAATCAAACAAGCCAATGATAATATCATTGCATCAGAAAATACTGTTCATGAGAACATTATCAAAGAAATTGGTTAAAAACTGAGCGAGGAGACATCCAGACAAATAAATATGCTAAAAAAACAAAAACAAAGGGCAGTAACTCTTCGAAATACATCAGAATCCAACTGCTGTTAAAAAAAAACACATCTTCATATCACAGCGATTAAGCCTACTAAATTTCAAAGAAATTGCTTAAAAAGAGAAAGATGATCTTCTGACAAGATAAACATGAAACAAACAAGGGGCAGCAACTCTTTCAAATACATTCAAATCAAACTGCCAGACAGGTAAACATAACCTCATGTTATAACTATCAAGTCTACCACCTTTGAAAGTAATTGGTTCAAAAAATGTGGAGTTACTCCCCAAAAGATAATTGAATCAGATGAAAACTGTGGAAGAAGATCACAGGGTGTATATATAAAAACAAAACAAACAGATAAATAGTAAAGGTATATTTGTGATTCTTACAAACATTAACCTTCCTATTTCATGACAACCTACGAAGTTTAAATTTTCTGTAACAAGTCCAAAGATTTAGTGTAACCGTCTAACTAGTTAACACAAACTATTGAACATAAAGTTGTTTCAGGACAAATTGGTTTGCTAGGCCAATGACAAGACTTTAACAAAACAGCACAAATCGGTCTGTATCTCAGGTTCCTGAGAAACATAAACAATCACAGGTAAGAAGTGTCAAGTCATACACCTTACAGCTTCACCTGAGGTTGGCTAGGTCAAAGCTTTATGGAGCTATTTCTGCCCTTTCTAGTCATGTTTATCTATATATGTGAGTGTAAACTTGTTTTACATCTGAAATACTTCTGACATGTATATAGGTAATGAAGGGAAAGTACACTCGATAAAATTAAGATATGCTTTGTGTGATTCTCCCTATCGCAAATGTGACCTGGAATTTGCTTTGAAGAATGTTATTTATATAGTAGAACTGAATGATATCAGAAATGTCTAAAGATAATAAATGAGAAGAGAGAAATATTTACGTTATGATTCAATATTTTTTTATCAGCTAAAACACAACAGGATGGTCAGGTAGAATACCAGGGCTTCCAGATTTACGGCAGGGTGCTCAGAAAGAGGTGCTACTACGGTTTTGAAAATGAGGGCTGGGTGCAATGCCCTGCTATCCCATAATAGCTGGAACACTGATGAAGCCATCCACTTATCTCTGACCTAAGATTGGTAGGAACATACAAGTATCATACTGGCTATGCAAAGGGAAAAGAAATATTTTCCTGACAAACAAAGAAAGGTTATGGCTGTATAATTGTAGATGAATTACTTAAATCCTAAGCAATGGCACATGAATGAGATCATGCTTCTGAGAAAGGATATGAGGTGTGCCTTCTGTGCGACAGACAAGGTACAGACACGCTGCAGTCACATGGGCTGTCTTTCGGCCACGAGTCAACTGCTTGACCACCGCCATCTTATAGAAGTTAAAGGCAGTGTCTATACAATGTTGGTTCAGCTTTAACTGAGCACCAAGCTGTTGAATACGTCTTCTTCCTGAAATAGACCATGAGTTATGAATAACATGTTATTATCTATCATCTGTAAATCTGACATCAGTGCTGTACTGTCAACTCTTTTATATACAAACACTGAAGTATCATGACTCACTGCATTTCAGAATTATCATACTGTTATTGATCTTTTTTCCTAATTAAATTCAATCATTTTAGCCAAATCAAGGTAGTACTGATATATAATTATACATTTAACAGTAAAATATTTATAATGGACAGTCCATTATCAACGCTTGAAAACTTTACACCGAGAGCATTTCAGCACATTGTCACTAAAATATATACACAAATAAATACTGGAGAGTCAATTAGGCTAGTTGAAATTTCAGAATTAAGTCTGAGCTTGTTACGGTTACCAAAATTAATTCAAAATAATGTGAGGACCTTGAAGTCTATTGTTTAAATTTTACAGTAATGAAAGATAACACTCCTGGTTTGTGTTACACACTTACACATAGATATATGATTACATATTGAGTTGGCACTTAAATTGTAAATGGAAACATATTCACAAAATGTAACATGCATTTTCAGTGATTTCCCTAAATTTTAAAACAATGGGACATGATCTGCTGTCCATGCTGTACTGTCAACTTTTGTATATATATAGACACTGAAGTATCACAACTGATGACTTACCATTTTCAAAAGTGACTGTACGAGATTCTCTCTTCATTCCCCTAGGAAAGCTTATTCCTAAAGAGTGAGCCTTCATCCCTGCAACACAATGGATTTTGTTTACACCCAGAAATCAATACTTATTCCTCACAGAATCTTTAGGAAAAATCCTTTTAAAAACAACATAGCATGACTATAAAACTCTTTCATATGCGTGTATGTAGGATAGAGATATTCCACCCGAGGGTCACAAAATATGGTGAAACCCAAGGCTCTGCTGAGGGTTTTACCATATTTTGTAACCCCCAGGGTAGAATATCCCTATCCTACATACACACATAATGAAAGAGTCTTTTTCTCTCATATCTTTACCAAAATTTTGGGAAAAGGACAGTTGGTCGGCCATTATCTCCATTTTTTTCATCTTTTTAATCCGAGCTTTTTATAAAAAACGAACTGGATATTCTTAACGATCATACCCATATTTTGCAAACTTCCAGTTTGCTGTCAAATTTCAAACCATTTTTCGGTATATTGTAGGATGAATATATTATTCGCACATGAAAAAAAACAAAAATGATCTCTGAGTGATTATATAGTATGTGTAAGTAAACATCCGCGAAAAGAAATTGTTCCGTCAAAAACTTCAAAGAAATCAACAAGGAACAGATTTTTATAATTCAACATATAGTTTTATCATCAAAATCATATATTTGATCATTTTAAGAAAAATATCAATGTATCTTTTTACTGTTTTAACATTTTTTCAAAATACTGTGACGGTGACATGACGTCACCATAGTCAAAGAAATTCCATTCATAAATTCAAGGAGTGACGTCACATGATCTCCTATTCCGAGTCACTGTCGCTCTCGATCACCATGATTCGACGACGTTTGGGTGGTGGAACATTTGTGGTGATATTTACGGTGATTTGGCAATTTTCAATGTGAGAGCCAGCAAAAAAGGATTCGACGCGAGTTTCATATTGTTTCTGTGATACAGGATTGTAGGTGTTAACCATGTTTTCTTGTTGTGATGACGATGGTAAACACACTGTGACATCAGAGGCAGGCCTAGTAACTGTTGAAGTTGATGAAATGGTGGCAGAGGATGGTGTTTGGTTTGATGGAATTAATTCGCAGCTTTTTGTGTTTGACACCATATTGGAAATCATGTACTTCTGTCTGTCATTCAGTGTCCTGTAATTATTCAGCGACTGTGTGTTTTTATGACCCGTGACATAAACCTGAAAGGTATCGGGTACATGGTTGTCGGTCATTTTTTGTATAAGGGATTTTCGGACGCTGTAAGAGTTGTCTCCCCTGAACACTGATTACTCCGCACACGTGTTTGCCCATGTAAGATAGAATTTTCTTACATAGCTATCTTACATGGGCAAACTCTATCCAATATGGCGGGATATGAGAGAAAGCTCAATCTTTCATGTTAAATAAATAAGTTTCTCACCATCACTGGACACAAACTGCCCAATAACAGATGATCCTCCACTAGCATGTTCCTCAAACTGGACCTCGGACACAATGATCTGGTCCTCCAGCACTGAGCCACAGTTGGTACAGACAGCATCTCCTCGGGCCGGATCCTTGTCTATGTCTGTACAGCCACAATGGCTGCACACTGCAGTACTCGACATCCTCTCTAAAGGCAGAGATAGAATTTATATGAGTCAAAGATAGTTTGCATAAATTTTTCATTTATGTCAACTTGAATAAAGCTACGTTTTGTATAAGAAAATATGCAAAGCTTCATATATCAGCAAAGCTAAATATACAATCCTTCTTTCAATTCATTTTGTTATCTATCTATAACTTATAAAACGATATCTGCAAAATAACACCCCTCATTTAGTGCTTCCTTATTTAGTTATACTGATCAAAATGGGGAATGGGGCGGGGGTGGGGTGGGGGCGGCATGATAGGGTAGGGATGAGATAGAGTTGTGTCAGTAGAACAATGGATGTTGCGATTCAAACCAGGATCTCTTGCTAGTCTTTTGCTCAACTGATCAAGCTAAAGAGAAGTTTACATTAGTTACCAGAGTTCCTATACAAAAACTGTAATGTCCACGGTATAATCCCACAACATGATGGGGGTATCATTTAATAAAGACATATAAAATTGTCTTGCGAAAACCTGTGGCTCATGCACCTGGAAAATGTGATATTTCCATAGATAAAAATATCTGGTTAGTTCACACAAGACATTTAAAAATGCCCGACACTTGCTATAAGGAGTCAGAAGGAGGTTGGTTTAATTATTATCTATTCATTTTCATTTTGATGTAATTAGTAGGCATAGAGTACTTATATGTAGTGTCATAATCTATGTACATAATCTTAAAAAAAAAAACGCCTTAATATGGAAGCATGTGAATGTCGTTTACCTAGATGTGCTCAAGTGCTTACCTATGGATAAAGTAAAGGAGGCTACGTATCTCACGTTGTTGTACTCTCATGAAATAACAGTTAATAATTGTTTCTAAGTGTCTGGCTTAAACATACATGGATGGGATTTAATAAGCTAATGAGAGGATGAAACATGAACTCTGTATCCTAAACCATAATACATTTTTCATGATTTTGGAACAAATTGAGTGCTTCATGGGCCTTGATATGGGTGTGCATGTTTGGCCAAGTAGGGCCATTATGCCATTTTTACAATATAGGTGGTAATAGCAAAATATATTTATGGTAACAAAACGTTAACACAGAATTGCATCCTCTCGGTCTCGAACCTTGTATTTGACTGATAAATCAGTTGATTTGCCAGCGCGACATTTTACCAACAACACCACCTTGAACGGAAGTTTGCCATGGTGAATAATTGCATATATACACGTCTGCAAGTATATATACCTTTGTAATTTACCTGTTAAGCAGTAGTCTATAACGTGCTCAGTACAATCACGTATACAAAAGCCAACAGAACGACAGCAGGGACGGGAAAGACTCCGATAAGCCGAACCCGCTAGATGGCACGCAAAATTGAAGAGTTCCAACAAGAAATGGCTTCCGTCGTCATTACTGGGCGACTGCTTGAGGATGAACACACATTGTCGGTGTTGTAGCCAGCACACACTTTTAACTACTTACAAATACACACTGGTATGTATACCCTAGGTCCAAGTTTACAGTATATAGTATGTGACGATTGGTCATAATGAGGGATCGATTTCATCATTTCCCTATCAAACATAACTAAAGTAAGGTCCGGAATACGACAGAATGACGTAGATTTACCTTATCAAAAGAGGCCCAAACTGGCATCCCAAATTATTTTGAATGAAACTCCAGAAATTTTCAAACGATGAGAACGATGACGCCCAGTTGAAAAAAACCCAAAAATGAAAATCTGAATCCCATGTTGGGACCATCACACAAAATTAATTAAAAGTATATGAAAACGATTGTAAGTAAACATTATTTTTACTGGCCTGACAGAAAAGTTAATTTGTATATTTATGCAAAGATCTACAAATCTGTCGTATAGCAAATTTAATTGATATGATGTGCATCATTAAGGGCAATACATTTGACATAAACAGTGACATGATAAAGGGGGATAATTATCAAAGTTAACTTCAGCATATTCACACTTGTCGTTGAGAGCACTGTCCTGCTGATCACACTGGATCTGGTAATAATATACTGTTACTGCCAATACTGGTATCCGTCGAAAAATTGGAGATGAATGCTACCACTAGTAGAAATTAGAGATAATTTCTGTACCAAAATATGTTAAATATATGGCAAATCATAGCTTATACACTTTAACACAAACAACTCTCATAATTGTTATTTTAATCATAGATATGTTGATTATCCTCATTATATATGTAGAAATTGAGAATGTAGGTCGTTTTACTAGCCTTAATTTTCCTTAAGTCAAGCAGTAAATTGTCTGGCCTAAGACCAAAGAGTTGCTAGTTCAAACCCCAGCAGTGGCAGGGTGTTTTTAAGTCAATACTGACCCATACCTGAGCATAAAGTGTTGTAGAGGTAAGGTAACATATCGTAAAAATATTAACCATTCAGAAATGTCTAAATATACAACAGGAAAGTTAATCCCCAATAGGAATACCACAGATAAACATTATGGAGCTGATGATAACAACAACTGAATTGTATCATCAACTCAACAGTCTGTTTCCTGCCGTTTTCCTCAGCAGTTGAATTATGTATCCTTCGTGTTTGACACTCCCAAACCTAGATGCTCACCCCAAGCCTAGCTCTTCTTGGAGAGGAGATCAAGCTGTGTTTAATTTCAGGTTGAGGTATCGCCAGACTGGGATCCATGTAGTGCCAGTGTTACATTTTCCTGTTTAGATTGAAGAGAGAAAGTACCAGAAACAGAAATTTCATGTTTATTTGATGAGATCTGTAGATAAAAACGGTCCTTCTTTTGATCAATTCTGGTTCTTTAGAAAGTGGATTTTTCCTGTAGAATTGTTATGCATGATTAAATCTTTCAGAACTATCCAGGCATCAACATTTAATTTTTATACGCCGCTGGAGGCGGTAATATGTTGGTGTCATCTTCTTCGTCTGTCCGTCCGTGCGTCTGTATGTCCATTTCTTTTGAATGCAACTCCTCCTAAACTAATCATCAGATTTTCATGAAACTTGCTCAATAGCACTACTACAATGGGTAGATGTGCATGAAGAGGCGATTTTTTGGTTCGTTGATTTTTGTAAGATTTATGCCATTTATGATCTCAGGTCCCTGTCTCTTCCAGCTATGCTAACTGGTCTCACAGACTTCATTTTGAGCTTATGTATACAGACATGTTAAAAGCGATAATTAAAAGGACCAATCTTGATCTTTATATTTTGTGGCGGCGTATATTGTGTCCATGGCACTCTTGTTTTTATAATATTTTGGGACATCCATGAAGAATTTTTTAGAAATCTGTTTTTTGTTTTGTTTTTATAGATTAATGAACCTCAGTATTTTATTTGTGAATAACATGCTTCACTACAGCATTGTATCTAAATAAGTAGTGAGTTAAACAAGTACTAAACCTGTAAGAAATCCTTAATCCAATAACACATACCTTTCAACCAGAATACTAGGCCTATATAGATTTAATTCTTTTCCTTGTTATTGATTTCATTTCATTTTATGTTTCAATCATAGCCACAAAAGCTAAAAAAATAAAGACAGTATTTAAAATATCTTTAAAGTATTTTAATTTACCTCAACATGCATCATATTATATTGCCCATCAGCCTTCTCAGCAATCTCATTGATCAATCATATGGAAATGATGAGGGAATATTGGAATGACGTTTTCAAAAGGGATTTAGTCACTTCCATTTCTCAGTCTCATATTTAGAATAAAAGAATAACTTGATTCAGCATTAACATTTTTTCTCAATTTTAATCACTTTCAAATAAGATCTAAAACCAAAGTCTTCTCTAATTTTATTAGCTAACCTGGCCCAAAGGTTTTCCTTTGCATTATTGACTTAAATATCCAGGTGAGAGATACAGTTGTTATCGTTTTTGTTCTAGTCTTTTACAATTTATGGAATAAATAGTTGGAAGTGAAAGAATTACAGGTGTTGGTGAATTATTCTACTGAATAGATGGTTAACAAGAGTACAGCAAAGCAGAACAATGTATGCTTATCCAATGCCAGAGAAATATTCATGATTTATTGTATCAAACAAATATGGAAATGGTAACAAGTCAAAATGTCACAAGGGAAAACAGTGCTCTGTATCAATGGTAGATTAAGATATGACAAGTTTTAAAGAAGTTGTCTGAAAACTAAAAAGAAAACTGTACAAAATTAAAATGTACGAAAACAAAAGTCAATAACTCCTTAAAAAATAGATTGGTTGAATCAAACTACCATATAGGGAAGTACAATTTAATATCATAGTTATAAAGCTGGCTACCAAGTTTGAAAGAAATCGTTGAAAACTTGTAGCCTCCTGACAAGATTAATATGATGAACACAATAAGGAGCAGTAATTTTTGCAAATATAATTGAATCATAGTTGAATTCAAAAGCTGTTCAGGAAAACGCAACATTGTGTCATGGTGATTAAACTTACTAAGTTTTAAAACGATTGGTTATAAAATGTTGGAGGAGATCTCCAGACAATTTGAAATTGATAATGGATGGAGATCACCCGAAAGTTTTTAACAAGCCCATTCAAAATTTTGACAGGCATAGAAAAACTGGCTGAGGCCTTATAGTAGAGTTCAAGTAGTGTGCAGTCCATCACTTCAGAGGTTCATCTAGTCAAGATTCCATTAAAAACTTTGTGACATGCTTTCATTACATATGAATTATTTTAAGATGGTTATTAGATTAAACTGAGATAATGTTTAAGAAGTACAATTATAATTGTGTGGGAGTTTTATTGATTAGATAGATGCTTAACACAGATTAGGAAGTAGCTAGGCCTTGTAATAATTCTAGAAGTCGTAACTAATCATGGAACTGGCTATGGACATTGCTAGCTAGAACGGTAGCCATATTGTATAGCAACATGCCAAGAGACCAGATCTTGTGGTTTTGAATGTTAAAGTGTGAGGAAACTATTGGGGGACGTGTTACTTTATCTATTATAATAATTGGTTTGTACTTCACTTTGTTATGTATTTTTTCCCCAGAAAGAAGAGGTAACAGTTCATGGAATCCAAGAAATGGGATGTACTTTGTAGACTGAACCAAACAGGTACAGAAGAAATCCTATATAGTTACATTGGAAAAGGATCCTTCAACTCTGAAAAGATACTGCTCTTGAAATGAAGTTTTTACATTGAATTTGACATGTAAAGTTATATATCAGATTCTACAACATGTCATTTTCAAACTATGATAAAGAAACAGAGTGTGTCCTTAGCTGGTTCAATAACTGGAGTGTGATGCAAAAAGGTGATTTTATGTGTGAATTGTTGGAGCGTGCAGTGCCTTCGAATGTTGACTCCCTATTTGATGCCATGCATGCTTTAAATGTGAGCACTGATCGACCCCCAAGTATATTTCAGTGTCAGATCAAACTGTTTTCACAATGGTTTGATAGCTGGTCAGACAAACAGCGTAATGACTTCATGCTTATGCTCCACTGCGCCGATGCTAACTTTGTGACAAAATTTAATGAGGAGGTTGAATTATTAAAAGTGAAACAGTCATAATCTTGTGTCTTCTTTCCATGTTAAGGCTTATCAGTTACATAAAGAAGCAACACTCATCTATGTGCAGCATGTTATTAAAGAGAACAAATCAATATAGTTATTGTTTTATTTGTTTCTTGTTTATATAAAATAGCATGCAGGTATGAAGGGCTTTCAAATATGTTCATTTGAATGACTCTGACCCACTTTCAGTGGGGTTGTATGTGTAAACAAGAGGCCCAAATGTCTTGCGTCACTCACCTGGTATAATTTGCTTCAATTGCTTCAAGGAAAGCATGTAAAAGATTCATGTCCATTTCCCCTATAAGGCCCTGCTTCTCTACTCCATGGGGCAGAGAACCACACTTTATACAAAATTGATTTTCTTCACCTAAGGATTCTTAAGACCAAATTGGGACGGCGTCCACATATTCCTACAAAAGGTGATTGATTTTAAAGTAGTTGCTCTATTTACACTTTTCGGCTTTGCCCTAGAAGAGACCCACTGTTTATACAAAATTGATTCCTCTTCACCCATAAATGCTTCAGACCAAATTTGGACAGAATCCATGTATTACAATAGAAGGAAAATGATCAGGATGACCTATAGCCATCATATTTCATCTATTGTCATGCGCTTTGAGTAAACTTTCCATTCATACAACTTCTTTTTAATGATAAAAAAGATCAGAAGTTACTGATACTATTCCGGTAACATGCTTGGATGAAGGGCTACAGAGTTTGTGCAAATGAATGAACTTGGACACTTTCATGGTCACAGGGTCATTGGTGTGAAAATCTTTGAACAACTTCTGCTCCTTGGA